TCAGCTACGTACAGGGTGAGCTGAAGTCGAGGGTCTGTGGAATAGAGATCATCATGACGGCACCTGCATGGTTGGAGATACTTGGCTATGATTATGACTCTTCTCAGACTGTGGCGTATGACGCTGATAGTGGTGTAGTACTTCCAGGATATGTACGAGAGGATGCCGTGCAGGAGCAGAGAAGAGTCTGTGGGGAACACTTGCACTATACGGTGGGATTGCTTTCTGTGGAGTCCCGTATACTACATTATGTCCTTACCCACGTTCTGTTTCCGCGATCTTTTAATCATTCCAGGGTGTTGGAACATGACATTCCCATTATGTGGGCTATCCGACATGCCCAGATGGTGAACTGGAGGCACTATATCTGTTGGTTTATGTTTAAGGCCAAACATAAAGGTCATCTTCCATACGCCTGTTTGGTACAGAGGATATTGGTTCACTTTGGTGTTCCCATAGAGACTGAGCTGTTGAAGAAGACCACGAGCTATAATTGCAAGTTCGGAAAGCGTCTATTGGAGCAGTACAAGATTACTAAGAACACAAGATCGGGTGTGTGGGAGTTCAGTGGTATGCCCCAGGTTGAGGTTCCTTATGTTGCCCCAGATGACCATATTGTTGAGCCAGAGGTGGAGGAGGAGGAGGATGTGGCTGAGGTTGAGGAGATAGCTGAACCTGAAGGTGGATTTTCACTGCGTGATGTCATGAAGGGCATAAATGCAATGACAAAGAAGATAGGAAAGATGGCGCTGGCACATAAAAAATGGAGAAAGAAAGGGAATGAAAGGTTTAGACACATATAGGGAAGGTTTAAGGGTGTGGAAGACAGGCTTGCTCGTCTGGAGCTTGCAAGAGGTGGGGAGGTAGCTGAGGCAGGAGGGGATGGGGGTCATGTGTCAGGTGAGGACGACTCGGAGACGGACACAGACGGGGATGAGGAGTAGATTTAGGGTTTACATCATGTTATTATGTTTTGTTCATGTATTTCCTTTAAGTCGTTGATGTCCCGTAACTTTTTTTAATGAATGCAGAATTGTTATGTTTTTTGGATCTATGTTATGTTGTGTAATGAATTGAATTCCATTTCAATATTGTATAACTTATGAATGGAACCTTTTTAGCAATTTGATCATCACGGCACAAAACAATATTGAACAGGTCACATTCGTCCATAACACATCACAACAAATCAGTATATGTGTTTAAAAGGCTACATCTTGTATTGTTAACCGTAAACAAACGTTATGACAACATACGACTTCGTTTTAGGAATTTAATGTCCACATGGGTTTTTTGACTCGGAAATTATGCTCCCTAAGTCACACTCCCTTAGTGGATCAGTGTAGAGTGGAAACCAAGGGCAAAAAACAGGTGTAATTCGGATTTGGGGTCCTAAACCAGCAGTTTAGTCGATTAACCTGTACTGGTTTAGTCGACTATTAATAAGAATTCTTTGAATTTGAAGAAGAAAAAAAAACAACTTTACTGACAATTATTTGTGTGGTCGGTCATAAGAGTCCTCCTAATATTATGGTCTTTTTTATTCATTTTAAATATTTTTCAATCTTTTTTGAATATATAAATAGAGAATAGAGGATAGGCTCATTATAGAAAAAAAAGATATGGAAAATTTCCATAAGTAATTGAGTGTGAGAGCCAAATGAATCCAAAGATTCATGTTTGGTTCGGGAAGAGATCATAGACATTTTGAAATGAATGGAAATAGAATCTACTTTCATTAGTCGACTAAACCAGTACAGGTTAATCGACTAAACTGCTGGTTTAGGACCCTAAATCCGAATTACACATGTTTTTTGCCCTTGGTTTCCACTCTACACTGATCCACTAAGGGAGTGTGACTTAGGGAGCATAATTTCCGAGTCAAAAAATCTGCGTTGTAACAATTTAAACACATATAATTTATTAATACAAGCATCATTACATCAACCCGTTCATTTTTTTCAAATACAAATATCATGACATCAAATACAAACATAGCACCGTCATTACATCAACCCGTTCATTTTTTTCAGTTACATGACATTACATCAAATACAAGCATCTTAAACCATAAATGCCTATAATGTTAAACCATCAAAACATTAATGCCTATAAATTCATCTTGTATTGGGAATCCTCATAGGACATGTACGTTTGTTGTGACCAATTTGCTTACACAGGCTACATCTACTCTGACTGCTTGTCGGTTGAGACTCAACCCAATCCATCTCATTCTGTATCCTTGACGATTTGGGTCTTCCTTGTGCACGTACCAAAGATGCATTTGGGATAATGGTTGGGCCATCAATTTGTGGAATCAACAACTCATTGCCCATTGGATACCAATGTGCAGCATATACCTTATCAATTTGTGCAATTGAGAACACAGGATCAACATAATCATAGTGGTTCAACTTTTTTACCTTGCACACCGCTAAGACGTGACTGTAAGGAAATCTTCTAGATGTGAACCGTCCACATTGACATTTGCGATTGAGCAAGTCCACCCTCTCTTGAGTAAGAACTGGCTTCAATGATGGATCTTCTTTTAACATACCTATATAAAAAAAAACACCGACCAACAGTCAGAATACAAACTGATTAACGTAAACATACCTTAGGAAGTTAGATATATCGAATAATACATACTGATAATGGTTGCACATATCACATCAGAATCCAACTGTCTATGATCCCGGGTAAGACCTTGTTTAAGCAGGTGTGTTCTTTAACCCACTTACTGACCACCCGAGTATTTCTATTCTTCGGCAACAATGCCCTCACATACCAGGGACATCCATCATTATGGTGTCGACACTTCATCACAAATCTATGGTCATCATTTTTTGCCACAACGGCAGTACGGTGAGCCTTCATACAATATAATTTGACTGCATGTTGCATTTCAGATTTGCTACGAAACTCCTGATACAAATATAAAGGATCCCCTAATTGCCAACCATCGTGATCATCATCGTCACCATACAATATCTCCGTCTCATCATTAGGGTGGGCCCAATTAATGAAGGAATAATGTGAGCTTTCATTCCAAAATGGCTCGATCTCAGAACCTACGGATGCATTATAATGCCACCGTCAATACCATTGATAACAAAAAAAATAATTGCTAAATTAAATCTTTAAAAAACAAATCTTACCACTGCTAACAGGGTCAACACGAAGTGGTCTCGTAACCTGTGAACCCGGGGATGGTGAGCTTGTGTCAGCGTCGAAATCACCCTCTACGTCAGTATCTGACGTGTCACCTAGCGGAATAACACTCTCAGGTTCACCGTCCTCATCGCTGTCCATATCGGCATCCTGTTCATCCTCATCTATTTCCCGCAGTGTTATCTGACTTATGACATGTGCAGGTGCAGATAAATCGACTACTCTTTCTTCATGACCAAAATACGGTTCACTTCTTGTATGCATGGGTGCAGATGAAGATTGACAACAATCTAATTCAACATATATCTCAATAAAATTTTGAAATTTTCGGTCAACAATTGCATCTATGACACATTCGACATCTTCATCATCACATATATCGTTACCAATGTAGTAAATAGCATCCTTACCAACTGTAGTCTCTACCCTGGCAATTATCCGTTGAACGCATTGGCTGCCTTGCAGACCCAATTTTTGCTGAATTCTCCCCTTTAACTCATTGTATGTAGTGCCCCGTTTGATTTTCAACATTTTCGTTTTCCCTTCAAATTGAACACCATTGGGGCCTTCATAATGCTTTCCATCATAGTAGATCATTGTCACATACATGTTTGGACATGTGCTCATCTTCCTCACGAAATTGGGACTAGGGTTCTGAAATTGGGGGTTTGGGTTCGGATTTTGGGGGTTTGGAATTGGGCAATGACAATGATTTCACAATATTAGGTCTGTAGAGATTGTGGGATGAAATACAATCGGATTGAGAGGATTACACATGAACAAAGAGAGCTATTTAGGTTTACACAACAACAACAATCGAAATGAGACCGAAAACATGGAAAATATAGGGTTTCAGTCGATATTTAGTCGACTAAATATCGTTACTTAGTCGACTAAATATCCCAAAAATGTAGTCGATTAAGATGATTTTTTAGACGACTAAATTTGCTGTAGTCCACTTTCTGCATTTTGACCATTTGCTCGACTAAAAAAGCAATGTAGTCGACTAAAAGGGGACAAGTTGGTAGATAGTTCTGGATCAGGGGCAAATTGATTATTAATTAATTAATGAGGGGCAAAAGGGTCAAAAAGTCAAAGTTAAGACTAAACGTTTATGCTTTGTTAAGATTAAGAATTTTATATTATTATTTAGTGATTTATTATTATATATTTAAAAAATTTAATTGCTTATACGACGTTAAATTTATTAAATAATTTCATAACATAACATTACAAGATAACATAAATTTTGTTATGCAAATATATTGTATTTATTATCATTTTTTGTTATTATCTCTTATTACTAATGTTGTTATCGTTGGATCAAATTTAAATTAATGGATACAAAACAGTATCAAAAGAGAACCGTTAATTTATTTTTATCCAATAATAACAAAATTAATAAGAAAAAAAAATACTAAGTATAACCTGAATTTATATTTAAATTTATTTTTTAAAAACTACTAATTTTAATATACGCACGAGGCAAAATTAATAAGAGGGAGAGAGCAGAGCCGAGGCGAGAAAATGTTATATGTGTGTGTCCGTGCGAGAGTGCCCCATCCATACATATCTAAAACATCCTCGACCAACAACGTCCGAATCGCTGATGCTGCCGCGTCCGCTAAAAATTTCTAAATTTTTTTTCCCACGTTCTCCACGTGTGTTTTTCTCATTGGTTCCTTTTTTTATTTTATTTTATTTTCCTTTTTCCCTCGCACACCTTACCAGTCACCACCACCACCACACCCACACACACACATTCTCTCTCCTCCTACTTTTGAACTTTCTCTCTGCTCGGAACAGATACTCCGAATATCTTCTTCTTCTTCTTCATCTGAGCTCAACCCACTTCTTGAGAGAGAAAATTCACCTCATGTGTTTCATAAAGCCATAAACTTGAGGAGTTTTTTCAACTTTCAACACTCTCTTGGCTTTGCCAATCCTCTTGGATGTGAATTTTATTTGAAATATTTTCTTTAAGCTTATGTTGTAAGTTGCTTTTCATCTTTTTATTGTTATTAATATTTTTTTTTCCTTATCTTGTTTCTCTTTTTCTTTAACGGTTTTTATATATATATTTTCTCTTTAGATGAACTGCACCGAAAGGTCAGCTTCAGCTTCTCACTGAAGCATAAGCTTTGACGAGTTTGAAACAAAGGGGGCATGCTACTTTTCGGGGAGGGGAAGGAAGAAGATAATTATTGATTCATTTCAGGTTCATCTGTGGGGAAAAGATTGTGTTTTTAATTTTTTTTTGGTTGCTCTTGATGAGGAGGTGAAATTTGAAGAAGCCTTGACTCTAGATGCTTTTGGAATGATGAGGAGTATTAATACATAGAGGAATTGGGGTTTGATTTTTACTATGGAGATGTTGTTTATGTAGAAAGGAAGATTCAGGGGAGGTTGGTTTTGTTTTGTTGTTGGATTGAAAGATTATTATTATTATTATTTTTTTTGGATTATTTTTTATTTGTGTGGATAACGATTGAAATGAGGAATTGGGGTATAGTTTAAGGTTGCAGCATGAGTTTCAGAGACAAGAACGTAGGAGGAGGAGAAAGGGAATGTGAAGAATCGGTGTTGGGGAGCAATGAATCAAAATCAGTGAGGCAAAATGGGTTGTTAACAAACACGCAGTTAACAATTGATGAGAATCTTCTGGTTGACCCTAAACTGCTCTTTATTGGGTCCAAGATTGGTGAAGGTGCTCATGGTAAAGTTTATGAAGGAAGGTCAGTGGCAAAGCCTTGGATGTTTTTCGTGTCCTTTTTTTCTTTTTCTTTTTTTAAAAAAATGGCTGTTAATTCATGTGAACATTTTAATAGGTCAAATTCCCTTGCATGTAAGACCCCACAGTGGTGAGATGTTTATCTACAATTCAGTTTTTTTTCTTATCACATATGTATATTTGCCCCAATAATTGCGGAATTACTGTATTTTGATTTTTTGTTAATATTAAATGCTAAGTGAAAAGTCAATGTTTGCTATGGCTGAATGTTTCAGTTAAATTACTTTTACTTTCTCATTTGAGTAAGTAACTGGGAACAGTTGTTGGTTCAAGCAATAAAGAACTACATGCCACAAATTTCAGTAACTAAGTTGGGGTTTTCTCTTTCTATTGATTTGCATGATACTGATTTTACTTAAGAACCACTGACTTCTAACTCTTGTTAAAGGGCATTTGATTTTTTTTATTTTTTATTTTATTCCAATGATGTCATCATTTATGATTATTGGAGTGCCAGTTTAACTGTATAATTGTATCAGTACATCAAGCGATTTGCTGGAAACTGGAGTCATGGTTAATATAGGTGTAAGATTAATAATTTTCCAGGTATGGAGATCAAATTGTTGCAATCAAAGTTCTGCATCGTGGGAGCACTTCAGAAGAAAGAGCTTCCCTTGAAAATCGTTTTGCTCGGGAAGTTAATATGATGTCTCGTGTCCACCATGAGAATCTTGTTAAGGTGAGTGCCATAGTAGCAATTATCTTTTCTGTTTATGTATAGTTATCTGTTTAGTGAAATATATTATTCTTTATTGTCCTTCATGCTAGTATGTGACTGATGATTTCCTCTTATAGAAGATTATGATCTTACTAGGTTTTTTGATTTTTATTCCTTATTATTCTATTGCAGTTTATTGGAGCGTGTAAGGATCCTCTTATGGTTATAGTCACAGAGCTATTACCCGGGATGTCACTGCGGAAATACTTAATGAGTATCCGTCCTAAACTATTAGACCTTCATGTGGCTATAAACTTTGCCCTTGATATTGCTCGAGCCATGGATTGCCTACATGCCAATGGGATCATACATAGAGATCTGAAACCCGGTACTTTTGTGTATATATATTACATTATGTGTAATGGATAAATTGTATGTTAGATGGTTTTTTGTTATGGATTTCATGGCTTTAATGTCCTTAGGTACATAAAAGTTGTTATTTATTAATGTTAGGTGGATAAATTAATCTGGTTGCCATTGCTGTCCTGTAATTTGTTTTTAGTTTCCAAACCTTCTTCATGACTCTAACTTAGGTCAAAATTATATTTTCTGTCGTCTCTTCAATTAATGAAGAGGAGAGAGAGGTTGAACTGCTAATTTAATGTGAAAAACATGGCTTACCTTGTATTTCTTGATTGGAACTTTACTCTTCTATTACAGACAATGGTAGTAGGTTTTGACATTAATTTTACAGTGTTAAATCTAGGTACTTATTGATGACTTCTAGTATTAATAAGTGTAGCTCTATTCAACTATGTTTTTGAAACTGTCACAATGCAGACAATCTGTTGCTTACGGCAAATCAGAAGTCTGTTAAACTTGCAGATTTTGGTCTTGCAAGAGAAGAATCTGTGACTGAAATGATGACAGCAGAAACAGGAACTTACCGTTGGATGGCACCAGAGGTATTTTATATTTTTGGAACATGATTTCATTGTTTCACTGACAACCATCCAAAAATATGTACCAAGGGATTCAATAAAGATGGCACTTTTTGGTGTTTATCACATTGATTCATCATATCACTGTTAACTTAAAATGATAATTTATTGTGATGATGTGATACAACGCAATGAGTGAGAGATTCACTTGAAATCAAGTTGCAGAGACCAAACTTAATCACACTAAAGGTCAACAATGATATAGACAAGCAATATTTGAGTTTAGAGGCTTGCCAGAATGGCGACAAAATAATTTATCATTCTAGAACTTATAAATTTCATGTAGTTCTTCCTCGATTTTGTGTACATTGCTTGTGAGTGGATATTGGCATTAGCATAGTTGTTTCATTTTTTCAGTTGAATGAGTGGATATGTCAAGTAAGTTGTAATTATTTCGCTGCTGAATAGATAAAATCCATTTAGCAAATTCCCATATAATCTCCTGTAGTTTATGCAATTCGCATATTTAGTACCTTTGAGGGAACTTTATTCTGCTCATTAAACATGTATTATGGATTTCCTGATAATATCGGTTTTATTTATAGAGATGGATTATTTTAATGATAGCTCGTGTTTTTACAGTTGTACAGTACTGTAACATTGCGTCAGGGAGAGAAAAAGCACTATAACAACAAGGTTGATGTGTATAGCTTTGGAATTGTTTTGTGGGAGCTACTAACAAATCGCATGCCTTTTGAAGGGATGTCGAATTTACAGGCTGCTTATGCTGCTGCATTTAAGGTATTATATTCGATATTACTGGGTGCTGGTTGTCATTTTTGCCTCGAAGTTAGAAATGCTGATACAAATTTCTGTATTTTGATCTGTGGATAGTTGTAATAGATTATACTTCCTTACCTTATTCTAATGATACTCTACACCATCATGTCACAAATGCTGTTGTTGAAGGGTTAAGGTTAATATTTTAATTTGTATGCTTCCAAAGCTATCTTTTTGGGAGTTATTGGATTTGTTGTTGGAGATATAAATATAACTACTAATGTGACTTTCACTTAAGAGCTTAGATTTTTGGGTTGAATTAGTTGTTAAGTCTATGACTAAGTGATCATGAGTTTGATCCTCATCACCCCGCTGTTTAATAAAAAAAAAAAAGTAAGTTAAAATCAATATAAGGTAATATTAATATGGCTTTCACTTAAGAGCTTAAGCTTTTGGGTTGAATTTGTTATTTTACTGTTGTTATTTGCTAATTATGACATGGTTTGCACTTGAGATTGCAGCAAGAAAGACCCAACCTTCCGGATGATATATCACCTGATCTTGCTTTTGTCATACAATCATGCTGGGTTGAAGAGCCTAACATGAGACCAAGCTTTAGTCAGATTATCCGCTTGCTCAATGCATTTCTCTTCACACTCTCACCACAATCTCCTCCTTTGCCAGAACCTGACAATGAACCTGAGGTGGCTACAACAAGTAATGGTACCATTACCGAGTTTTCTGCTCGAAACAGAGGAAAGTTTGCTTTTCTTCGCCATTTGTTTTCTTCCAAGAGGACCAAAAACTAACAGTGAGTGATAATTTTTTTTTTATAATTCCCTTTTGTTGTAGATGAAAAGAGTTGCCATGCTACGGTATATATAATTTTAGTGCATTAATTGAGGAACCATTATCTAAGGTGACAACTAGAAAGATGTAACATGTTCCATAAAAGAATAGAATGTTGTTTATAGACTTTTTGAAGGAAAAAGAAAAGGGATTGTTTACATTATCTACTTGATCTTGTTGTAAAGGAACACAATGGTTTAGATGTTTTCCTGTTTTAAAAAATGTTATTAATTACTGTGTAGTAATTCATTGTAAAGTAATTTTTATCCAAATGATGTTTAAAGGTTTGCTTCTTCTGCTAATTGACTTGGTTGTCAATTGCCAAAAATCAATGGCTATGTATCATGCTACCATCAATTGTCAAGCATAACTTTTATTTTCCATCGATATTTGTGGATGTTAGCTGAAGGTGCGACTTTGAAAATGACATTAAACTTGTAATAGAGAATGAAATTGTTCAAAAGTATTATTCTATTATTTATTCCTTTTGAAAGTCCCCAAAATGCATTTTAAAATAATATTAATTTTGATGAGATTGGAATAATCTTATAGTTTATGTTAGAAGAGCAATGAATATGTCAAGATACTTTCTAATTTGTCAATATTTGTGTTAACCTATTCTAATATGCTACGACTTTAGGAGTTTGGTGTCATGGTGTTTTCAATGTCTATTGTCTAAACTTCAATTCAAAAATAACTATCGCTAGTAGTTAGTTATTGGGGGTTAATTTTTTGAGTTCATTTTTTTTTTTTATTACTGCATATAAGTTATTTGCAGTAAGTTAACTACGATGTCGTTTTGGGGCAAAAGTCATGGTCTTTTTGTAATATTAATTTATTTCAGGGTTAGTATAGTCTTTATAATTATAATTTTTTAATTTTTTAATTTCAAAATGACGTCGTTTTGAAAGTAAATGCAGATAATTTATCTGCATTAACTGCAGAAATATTTTTCAGTAATTTTTTTATTTTATTAATTATCTCTATTTTTAAATAAAATATTTTATTGTGGATATGAGTGCCTGTCAAGATAATTTTTTTTTTTTTTTGACACTGTTATTATTACGTTTTCTTTGATATCAATTTATCGTTAAGTTTCATTTTCACGGTAGCTCTTTAAAGTCAGACACTTTTTATAATTGGGTAATATGAGTGAGTAATAATATAATCAAATTTTTACTGCCAGGATATTAAAATTAAAGAGAAAAAATTATGCATGCAGGATAACTTGCTTTAGAAATGTCATCCTAACGCAAATTTAAGATAACTTTTTTCTTTTAAAAAAATAACCTTTATACATGTACCAGAAATATAATTGGGAAAAATATAATACGTTTGCATGTAAAAAATGAAAAAACTAAGGTAATAACACGCTAACTCTAAAAATGCATCCTTTTTTTTTTTGGTAAACAAAATGCATCCTTAATTTGGTAAATTCAGTGCAGCCTTAACAAATCTATGATTGTCTTACACTTTTTTAATACTTGTTTGCTCCACTAGACACATTAGATAAACTTAACTTTCAATACAATAACGCGCATTTTTTTTTTAAATTTTTTATGAATTTTTTTTTTAATTAAGTTATGATAGTTTATTAACTCTTTTCCTTTTAAAGATGATTGCGATAACTTGTTAAGTTTTGTTTTTCTTTCCTATTTACTTAGATTTTTCAAAATAAATTCCCAAATAAAAATCTAGTAAAATTATTTTGTCACTTTTTTTTTTTATAAATATTTGTCTAGTTTAAGGTGCTAGATAAACATCTGAAACTTATTAATAATAGTATAACTTAGTTCCAATAATCATTTTAGGATGGATGTTTCAAGGTACTGGAATCACTTTTTCCGATGCATAATTAGATTCTGAATCTAATTTTATTTTGTGAACACTTGTTTTAATTTATCGAATTTTCTCAATTTCAATAAAATTAATAACAACTTAATTTTATTTTAGTTGTTGTCCTGCTTGTCACAATCTTATTCCTGACAAATTGTCAATGGGGATCGAACATTACATCTTACAACCTATGATGCACCGATACTAACATAAGACATAGGATACGACACGACACGCCGACACGTTAATTCTAAAAAATATCATATTTTGACATGTTAGGACACATTTTGATATTAAATAATATTTTTAATATATGATAAGTCCATAAAATATGACTTAGAACACATGGTTGTTGATATAAAAATGTGAGAAAAAGAATACTTTTTGTATACTATTAACCCCAATTACATTGAGTTGCAATTATGTGGAGTAAAAAAGTGATGGGTTGTTTTTGATGTTTGGTCCAAAAAGAAGTGGGCTACAAAAGCAAAAGAAAAATAAAAAGAAATGGGTTGTGGAGTTCCAATCAGAAAGGCCCAATGGAGAGACAAAAAAAAAAAAAAATTGGAAGAAGAAAAAGATTTGAGCAGCGTGAAACATATTTGGGAGAAACAATCGTGAGCAGCCAAACCCTAGCCCCTCACCATTCGAACCTCACTTCTCAAACCAACTACAAAGTCGTGCCATCAACCTTCTAGCTCTATTTCTGTTAGCCATCGAACCACACAAGCCCTTCCTTGGAAAGAGTCACTTAATCATTGTCCCCTAAAAAGAAAACATTGACTCTAATCGAATAGTGACCTCGAGGCTGTTACAAGCGGGTGGTGGAATTTCCCTTGGTGAGAGCGTGGAGCAAGGAGTGCTTGTGTGACTTGCGTGGAAGGAGCGCGTGGGATCACTGTTGCTGAACAATGGCCCATGGCCCATGCATGTGAGGGATCGAGTATAAGAAGCAAGGAAACGTTGTAGGAGCTCACTCTCTTTGAGACCCTCTTCTGCTTCATCTTCTTCTTGGTTATTTTTATTTTTTCTGAACTCTTAGTAGTTTTAGTTCTGAGTAGTGATTTGGAATATGTGAGTGTTGTACCGAGGCTATTTTTTTGTGAATAGTGCTCGTGCTGTAGTTTAAGTTTTCTGCACTTTATTTTCTTTGTAATTTTTATTCCATTTCTGTTTTTGTAGCTCAATCCTTATGGGTATGAGCTAAACCTTTCAAGGGTTGGGTGACTGAGACCCCAACCACAATGATTGGTGTTGATTGTTTTTCTGGAATTAATGTTTAATTTCTTTAGTTTAACTGTGATTTATCTGTTCAAATTTCATTCTATGTTAGCCATATGAAATATGTTTGCTTAACCCCCAAGGGTAGCTCAGTTGGCAGCTGAGCTCCCAAGGGATTGCTTGGTGCAGGGATCAAACCTGCCTCAAGCAGTTTCTTAGAAAATCTTTGGGGGCCAGAGGATAAGCCAAAAAATCTTCGGTTAGGGGATTAGTCTCGTCCTTTCTCCGGTTGCGAAGCTTAGTGCACCCACTGTTACAATGAGGGGCTAGCCCAAACGGGCCGTACCCCGAGGGCATGGTGCCCGGAGAATGTTGAATGGGGATACCTCCTGTCAATGTACCAAAAAAAAAAAAATATGTTTGCTTAGGATAAGTTTATTGGGAAGTAAATTTCTCTGGAAAATGAGTTGAGCTCATGGACTCATATAAAGGATTATTTGATGGAGTAATTCAGAGATGATTTTTACTCCTCCATGTGGCCAAAAGGACTTGAGCTTCAAGCTCTTAGTCTCACCTGCTTAGGGATAAGTTGTGTGAGAACAAAAAGGAAAAGGATTTTTAAGGGATTAAAAATCCACAGTGTTCTGCCAATTGAAAAACGATTGTGAAAGAATCTTGTTAAGCAATTGGACACTAGGGGATGTGGGGAATGAATCATAACTCAACCCAGTTTTTAATTAGATTTATTAATACTTTGTTAAATCTGTTTGAAAAGTCCAAAAATAATACTCTCAGTTGTTTTATTTCTTTAATTTTGCGTATTAAGAATTTGATTTCAAATTTAAATCAGAAAATTCCAAGTGAACTTTTGATCTTTTGTTTGCTTATTTTATTTTTTGTTTATCAAATAAAATCATAGTTTTCTTTTTAGTTAGAAATTCAGTTTTAAGCAAATACAAATTTTAGTCAAGTTAAAAACGCCAAAGATCTTTTTGGGAACGATATTGAGATCTCAAATACGCCCTATATTACTTGTGGCTGAGTATACTTGTGCACTAAGTAGCACCGATACTGACACGGAACACGTGACACGATACGACACGACACTCCGACACGTTAATTTTTAAAAATGTTAAATTTCGACACGTTAGGACACGTTTTGATATTAAATAATATTTTTAATTTATATAGTATATATTATATTTAATATTCAATAATTTAACAAAAAAATGAAACTAAACTTATAATATTCATCAATTTTTCAAAGAAACATAAGATATCCCAAATATTTTGTATTAAACTCAATAAAATGGTAATCGTAATCCAACGAATCTAATAGTTGGAACTAAAAACTCAACACAACGAAATCTTTGAACTTTTTTTGAATTTCAATAACGCGTATTGAAGTGTCGGGGAGTGTCGGAGTGTCGGAGAGTGTCGGAAAGTGTCGGACACGACACGTCAGAGTTTTTGAAGTGTCGGTGCTTCATAGCTTGTGCATATCTTGCATAAACGTTAGCAAGGCCAACAATATATATAATATAATTTATATTTAATAAATATAACAGCCATAATAAATCATATAACTAATAAAATATTCAAATTCCATAACGTAAATATAAATAAAAACAATTTTTTGAACCTTGTTAATTTTTTATGTCAAACTTCGTAACAGAAAAAAATTGATTTATAAATTATTTTTTCATGTTTAGCTAATAAAACAAAATTTAGACCTTAAAATAAAAAAAAAACGTGTCGGATGTGTGTCGAAGTGTTAACCGCGTGTCGAAAAAAGTTGATTGCGTGTCGAAAAAACATATCGGAACGTGTCGAAACATTGACTGCGTGTCCAAAGTGTTGACCGCGTGTCGATGTACTTCACGCATCTTTCAAATTTTTTTCCATGTCCGTGCTTTGTCGCTTACAACCATAGCAAATTAGAGTGCATCAATTAACACCTTTTTCTAATATACATTAAAATTCCACTCCACACCGTAAATTTTTACATGAAATGAAGAGTTGTAAGGTTTATAGTGGTGACTTAAGTTATACATTGTCAAAATTGCATGTAGACTAAACTGTAGTTCCCTTGAGAAGAAAAACGTTCAAAAAGATGGTGACGAAAATAAAGAGGGTGTTGACTGCATTGATTTCAATGCATCAATAGTAGCAATCAAGTTGGAATTGGTCCTCCTAACT